CGAGCTTCAGGTAAAGCGATTGTCAAAAGGTGGCGCTGTGTAAAATCTCACCTGCGCGCTGAGCATATCAAAAAACTAGGCCAGATCTTCCAGCCAAAAATTACACAATTCTAGCAAAGAAAATCAATCACATTAGATCAACTGTTACAAATAACCCAATCAAATCCAGTGTCAAACTCAGATGACTCTCAAAAGTCAAAGACAAAATAAACTGAAAATGATTCACAATATTTCTACAAGTATGCTCAGCACTGCAGTGGAGTTCAAATATAAAAATACAACCTCACTCTTGCGGCCACTCTCTCCATCTCCCTGGCTGCCATGACGATTGATCAGGCCCGACCAAGTGTCGAAAAACGAATCTAAAACATCGCAATTTAAATCAAAACTTCCTCGTGGGGAAAAATATGGCGCCAACTCTCTTCTCGCCGTCTCTCGCGAGAGATCAACCCTTACAGAATAAAATGTTAAAATACCCTGGCAAAACAAATGTACTGAATACAAAAGCTATATAGCTCAAGCAGCTATTTCCCTGACCCTGCAGCGGAACTATTCGCGCTGTAGAGCAGAAGGAAAGTAGCGACACCGGGTGCCAGGTTGGTAATTTATGTAAGAGTAAAATATGACTAGCCAACCCAGGGTCGCTACAATTCTATTGCACATAAGCACCTGTCACCACATTTGATCTACAGTGATCATACGTAGTTGCCCAAAATTGTGAAATCCATAGATTTTACAGGCCTTATGGTCGCCGTCGAAATTATAGTGATTCTAGTTTTTTTCATTGATATGGTCTGATATTGAACAGCACGGCAAGCTAAAGCCTAGTTAAATAAAATTAACTTTTCAATTCTTCTATTTGAATTAAGAATGTTTCTCATTTCCCATTAAGTCATGTACACTAAAATGCTACGCTATACAGGTACATGTCCATTTCATTATGAACTGTAACAATAGTATTAGTCCCTGCTCTGAGATGGATCGGACCTTGGAAAAAGACAATACTCATGTCCTATAATGTATTGTACTTTATACAAGTACCGCATTTGGGTATCCACTGATGAATCAACTTTCGTAACGCAGGGTGATATCCAGGCAATTCAGATTATTCAAGTGCCTTAACGTCCAGTACATGATTTACTTGAAGACGCCTTTTGTTATTCTAGCCATATACCAGATAAACAAAAAGACCACTGTATCAAGAAAACGATGTATCAGCTAGATGCAAACCTTATATCATAGGTTATCTCAGAACACATAGAAATATAATGTATCTGAATCTGTAAAAATCTGAATGAAATAATTAAATAATTAGAATAAATACATAAATAAATAAATAAAAATGAAATCAATCATTCAATCAATCAATAAATAGATAAAGGCAGAATCTTGTATTTACCCTTTAAGGGCCCCATCAATCGTGTATTCATGTTATATTCTCAGAACTACCCATTTTCGTTATAGACACACAATTTAATACGAATAAAAATTGAATGCACTTATTTACCAAGTGTTCAAAGAATTAAAAGAGTGCCATTGAGAATTAAAAGTTTAGGCGACCTTAAGAAGCATATTAAACAAACCTCCTCGTCAATTAACCGTCGACGACATGCAATGTGCCAAAGCGTTTACATGTAGGTCGTTGACAAAGACGTTTTGAAGTGAATGTAAAAATGTAGATTGTGTGTCGAAGGAAAAATAAGACAGCGGAATAACTGGTATGTTGAATAAATTCAAACTTTTTAATTTAACGCATCAGTTCTGCTTTTAGGAACAATTCAGTTGTATATCTAAATATTTCTAATATTTTCTTTCCTAGTAAACTATAAATTGTGAACTGGACACAGTTAATGTTTATTGTCATATAGTTTAGTAAAATCCCATTTGCTTTACTTGATTTACATCATATTGTAATTCATGGAATCCGAACCATGACGTATGGCTTTGCTTGAATAAGTTGATACACGTCATTGATTATTACCTCGACAATCTTGTGTATATATTTATTTCTATACATTTTAAAATAACGATAATTTGATTTATTAGAGACATTAAGCTACACGTCCAAATGCAAATCGTCTGAAACCATGTCAGTGGACGTGGAGCTATATTTATGTGGTGACTGTTTCTAAGGATCATGGTTCTATGGTGTAACGGTTAGCACTTAGGACTCGTGGTCGTAATGCCTGGTTTTAAATCTAGTCGCATAAGTACCTTTTCGTTTTTTATTTTTGCTTTATTTCATATTCAACCACAATTCAATTACTTTATAGTATCGCTTTTTGCTCATATCAAGGGCGGAAGTAATACAAAGGAAATGTCTCGTTCGCAAATCAAATGTAGTGATAAGACAATAGTAGGCCCTGTTTGTCATTTCATTTCGTTTAGTATACATTTTGTATTAAGCCCCGGGTATTAAATTAGCCCTGCCTATTTATATTGTACGGAATGAAACGAAACGATCACATTTGAAGTTGTCATTCACCCATTAAATGTATTCTCATTTCAAATTAAGGATTGGGGTTTACCAATATAACAAGCAAGATTATCTGTATCAAATATGGGCTCCTGGGCCATCCTGGAACAAAGCTAAAATCAATCACGTAATGAGCGACGTGTAATCACTCATCTACACGTAAAAACCTTTAACTTTCACGCTTACCTGTAGAGAGTAGACTAATCTGACGTCATTTTCCCGCGCGCGCATAGAAGTACACGTTCATGCTTTGTTGAATACGCGTCTGTAAATTGAACCAATATGACAATCTCATGTAAAATCCTGTAAACTTCACGCTGGCCCACAGAAAATAAACAAATTTGACGTCATTTATCTGCGCGTGTATTGAAGTTCACATTCAAGTTTTGTTAAATACGTGTAGCTTAACCTCTCTATTGATTGAACAACTCACTTTGGTATATGGTAGTTCAGAGAACACGTGATGGGGATCCCAAAGGGTGGAAACGACATGCACAATTTACCTGCTTTTATAATATAGAAATTCAGAATAGGGTTTTCAAATTAGTGATTTGTTTGCTGCTACATTCGTCTGAGGGTTACTCGGTACGATACAAGAATATGCAAGGGCGTCTTCAATACCCGGGAGTGAGTCCCAACTGAGTTTGATTGCTGGAGTAGCCTCATAATCCCATCGAACGAAGTTCGGGAGGGGGTAGAGAACGGCTCCGTCCGTACGCACGTCCGTCCGTCTGTACATTCGTCTGTACGTCCGCAAGTCGTCCTACCGCACGTCCGCCCCTCCGTCCGTCCTGGTAATAAGTGAAAAACCATTGGACCAATGTCGTTTTTATCGTATGTGTATGTGACCCATGAGCGTACAAGTTCTGCTCGAAAGACGAGTTTCAAAATGGCCAAAAGTTTCAAAATGGTTGCCATTTTTAGTGTTAATTTTGAAGTATTTTGAAACCAATATTAATATGTCTAGTCTAAATGCAAAAAATATAGAGATACTGAATAAGTTGAAAAATTTAAGATTTAAAATATGAGATGTTGGCAATCTCGAAAAATGGCAAGTAGGCGCCCATTTGAATTTTTTACTTTCAAATGACCTCAAAATGATTTTTTAAACAATTTTTAGCCCTTCGCCCTTTTGATCATGTAGAAATCTCAGGGTTTGTAGGGGTTTTGATATATGTAATACCTATTGCGATTATACCTTTTCTTACGTTTTTTCACAGAACGGATTTACTTGTTACGCGTGTTTTACATTTTTAGTATAACTCGAAAAGTGGTGAAGCGTTTTTTTTCAAATTTTATATGTGTATACTAAGAAGCATATTACCCTTTTTTGACAATTTGGCAAATAGTTGGCCATTTCATGTGTGTTATTTTAAGAGTTTTGCCAGAATTGAAAAAGTAGTGGATGGATTTTGTAAAAAGGGCAGCCATGGTTGTTTGCTGGGATTTTTCGCCTTGGCGTTGCTGTTATCTAGTTAAACGCATTATGTTACTGTTCATTACTTTAACCTACAACCCATTTGTATGAAATGAAAATTATAGTTCAGTTTTCAATGTAAAGTCTAATATGTTGATTCCATATATATATTACACAGATAACGACAGACGGCGAGCTCATCTTCCAATAGTTAGGGCATATGCGATTACATCAGAGCCCCTGATTACCTAGACTAATTAACAAACAAGGAGTGATGCAAAAATGTCAAGGTGAACAAAAACCTGAAGTCCAAACAAAAATCGGTGCTTAAACAACAATGACAGTCCCTAGTGAAGAAAGTCCTGAAACAACCATCGACTTGTAGTGACACATCTGACTTAAATGGTGACTCGATAGGCTGATATGGCGGGTGTACCAACAAATAACGATGATATGCAGACAAAACTAGGAGGGCGTGAAGAGGAAGAGTCTAGTCAAGGAACACTTGAAAGTTCTGGTAATTTACACAATACATATAATTTACACGATACATATAATTAATTAAATGTTAAATACATTTTTTGTTATTTTCACATTTCTATAAATATTTAGTAGGCATAAAACAAATATGACTTGCAATTGGCAATCATATCATAAGTATATTCTACTTAAAACAGCATGTAATCCATTCGCTATGAACATTAACGATTACAGATTATAAAACATTATTGATTTGAGTACTATTATGTATATAATTGCATGTGAAACGATGCATGTTTTCACGTCCCATTTCTTTTGACCTACAATGAATTACGAAAGATTCATTCTATTTAATAAAGGTGCTCGGATAGACAATGTTGCAGACGACAATAGAGTAGACAGCCCTCATACAGAAATAGAAATAAGCAGTATCAGTAAAGAAAAAGGAATAAAGGCACAAGGCTTGGCATCTGAATCTGGTGAGCACACTGGTGTCACAAATCTTAATATAAACGTGATTTGTCCTAAAATCTAACCGAATGTGCAGAGCTTCGTGATTTGTATTGTTCCAAAATTTTACACGTTTGGGTTGTATCTTTCCCTTTTCAGATATTCTTGATGAAAAGTATTTATTAAGGATTGCACGGGGAATAGAGGCAGACTTGGCCCTTGACCTAGGCATATTACTTGACCTCAAATCTTCAGATGTTGAAGCTATTAAAACAAGCAACCAACACAATTCTCGTAACTGGGTATTCCATATATTAAACAAGTGGAGGCAAGGACAGAGGAGAGATGCTGACAAAATAAGAATCCTTACAGACGCACTCGAAGAGATCGGAAAAGTGGACCTTGCAAATAAAGTCAGAGCAGAAAAACAGCAATCGCTAGGTAAAGACACAAAATATGACCTTTAATGAGCACTTACATCGCTAAACATGTTTGTCATGTTATTGTTCTAGTTCAACTTATTTTCTATTGTTTACATAATCCAATGTTTGTTTTGTTTATTGTACTATACGATTTTTTTCTAATTACGAAAATATGTTTAGTTTTAACTAACACGTTATCCATAGTGCACAATTTTTGAGACATAATTATATATTGATATATGTATTATCCTTAAATCTACACTCGATCTACTGGCGTATGTTTACTTCTCAAAAATATATATTATATGACTATCCATCTAGGGACAATTGCATTTCCAATTCCACATGAAAGTGTTTTAAAATCAGTGTTATATTAGAGAGGACCGTCAAATAAAAAGTATTGATTTTTTGCCCGATCTGATTATATAAACATACTAAATATTGAATCCAGCGTTCTACATAAGGATTATGTACTGGGAGGTTTTGGATATGGGGTTTATCCAGAGGGATATATATATATTTATCCCATACTTGGACGTGTTACTTAGCCATTATGTCCCTATCATTGAATATATGCCTGAGGTCTGACGTCAATATAGCCCGAGCTTGCGAGGGTTATTTTGACGACAGACCGAAGGCATATATTCAATGATACGGACATAATTGTTGTATTACATACCTAAAGTACATTTTACATTACATTTCATGAATATAATATGTAGAAATGCGTGAAAAAAGACAAAAATGCTTTGTTTTCATGTTATATCAATGACGTCACACGTCTGTGTGCGATTGGAATATGTAAGAAATGAATCGTGACGTCATACGATTGTCATAGTAAAAAGTTTGGCGGCTATACTTAGAGGTTATGTCACTATGACGTGAAATATGCCTGCGTTCTCCCAATATAGGCCGACCTTGGGAGGCTCTATATTTGGGCAAGAACGAAGGCATATTTCACGTCATAGTGACATAACTGATGTATTACATGCCTTTGTTCCCATGGTTACTTTGTATCAATGACGTGACGTCATGATATTATCATGGTTATTAAAGAAATCTAATATCAAAACGAGGTAAGCGGGTTATATCGGGGTAATCGGGCAATATCGGTGGATATAGCTCGCTAACTTTCCCATTGACTTCCATACAAATGCTTCGCTAGGTATGTAATACAGGTACATAAAGCCGGTTTGTAAAAACTTATATTTTCATCAGCGGGCAGATATAGCTTTACGTCCCGCTCCGAGCGGGCAGATATAGTATATCTGCCCGCTACGTCATAATCGCCGCTCGCATATTTGTTCATAATTTGTAACGTTCGCGTAATGACTGTAAACGACAGTTGAGAAAACACAGACAATTGGGATCTATATGATGGTTTAAAAAAGGGAAGGAGTATCCACTAAATCAATCAAAAATACGAGAAAATAAATGTGGGAATATTTGAGAGAACAGGAAAATCCGCCCAGGGCCAAGAAAACAAAACTGGACAGGAATATTCTAAAATATTTCCACGATTGAACAATGTGAACCAGATGACCAATTTTGGTATGGGATAAACATATTATCCTATAGTCGGTTCAGGATATTGGGATTATCCCTTGGCCAATATAATATATTTTCCCTCGGGACCTGCTGCCCTCGGGCAAATATATTATATTTGCCTCGGGATAATCCCAATATCCTGAACCTCATATAGGATAATCTCTATATATCGACCTGAGGGACCGAAGGTAGATGTGCATATCTCACGAGGGATAAACCCATATCCAAACCGATCGTACATTACTGCTTTTTCCAATAACGAGTGGATTTTTTTCACATTTGAAAGATATGCCCAGGAGCGGGACATATGGAAGTTCTGGATATGTATACCTCAAAATCAGGATATGGGATATATCTTACCAACTTATTTCCCTAAAACTCTACTTGGCATAGGATAAAAAATATTTTAGCTAATGGTTTCCTATGAGATTTTAAATTTTTTTTTCTAATATGTAATTTAATATAAAAACTAGACTTGTGTCACTTAAGACATGTTGATAAACCTTATGCATCTTATTTTAAGTTGTGTTGCTTTTTAAATATCATACATTATTTCATAGAGGCAGATACGTAAAATATGAAATACATGCTCATAGTTTTAATTTCGATTATTTACAGAATCTCGACACCCTACGACCAGCATACCCTCATCCATAGAATCATTTACACAGGAACGATGTGACTTTATGAAAATCGGATACACGTGTACAATGTTGGGCCAAGATATTACGTTTACAATTCCTAAAAACGATATAGGTATTCTTTCATCTCAGAATGGAGATTGTTTTTTGTTATCTATAACAGTTTCTTCGTGGTGGGCTAGCATTAATATGTAATTAAAATCTATTAGTTCATGCATCTACTCATAGACTGCATACTACACGACTAGTACTATACCAACAGTACAGTCAAAGGAGGTCAGGATTGGCTTATTGATTTCCGTAAAATTGATCTGATGTCCAAAGTCATCCTAAAACATTTCTCACCTCTTAAAAGTATAACTCGCCAAGTTTTTCCCCTTGAAAATCGAAAAATATCAAAATATACCATTTTTCTTAGAAGCAATGGTTAATCAATTTTGTAAGTATCACATTTTATATTATAATTCCTGACATATAACCATTTCAAATGGCGTATTCAAACCCTAAGATACATTGTGTCATTTTCTAGTTTAGTTTGTGTTTTATTTCAATTCGAATAAATCATACATCAAAATAAATGGAAGACCCCCTAATGGGAGTTTTATCTACATCAGTAACATAAGAAAATGAATGAAATAACAAAATGTTAACATCACTGCATCTTATCTCCACCTCAGAGTATCTCCCCTCCACAACCACATGTACAGAGCCTTAAAAAAATATAGTCGAGTCCAGTAATGCGTCTCAGAATAATTGAATATTATGGGTCAGTTTCAGGCCATGTTTATTGACCATTCTGACCATCGTTTTTCTCAAATTAAATCATGAATTCCATATTTCAAACAAACGCACGGACAGAAGGACGAGCGCACTAACAGATGGTTGGACGGACAAACGGACAGACGGACAGATAGACGCTTTGGCTGGCAACAAGGCATCATACTAAGTGGTGCAAACATAAAAGAAAACCACAGTACACACAGTATAAGTGTACTACTATACTATTATTGATCGAACAACCGAACAATTTAAAGCGAATCCAATTGAATATTTTGTCATGACATATTGTGCCTATAACATTTCTGTTGCACCATACAGAAACTCTACGAATTGTGCTGACAACTATAGAAAAGATGCGCTTAAACGATGCACACGTTTTACAACAGCAACAAGCTACAGGCAGGGGCTCCGCAAAGTTTTCGCACAAGATATATGGGGCTTTATCGGAGCTTCATAAAAGACAAACAGTACAGAGAAGAATGAGACGCCGGTATGGAGTTGACTTTCTTGACTTCTACTTTGAATCTATAGTACTTCAGTTAAAGATCGTGGATCGAAGACTAGCCGCAAAATTGATTGAGGATTTCCACAGTGGGGAGTTAACTTTGGAACTTATAACAGAGTTAATTCCAGAAGACCTTAGAAAGGAATATAATGAGACTTACGTTCAAGTGACGCTAACTATAGATGGCGAGCTGGTGCAACAGTGTCTGTCTCAGGATCAAGGTGAGCTCCATGTTCTTCGTAATGACTAGTTTGAATGTATGCATGAAACATTATAAGCATATATGTTTCTAATAATATGTCTCTCACGAAAATCATACATTGCATGAAACGACCTAACAACTATCCCATCAATACATTAGGCTATGCCAGGTTTTTCAATAAGTGACTACTCTAATGGTTATTGCAGGGGTACAGGACCAAGATGATGGTTCATCAGACAAGGATGGTGGAGCATCAGCATCTACGATCGATCAAAAATTGACTTGTATTAGTACTAATCTGGAAAAACTAAGCCTATCGAAAGTTAAGATAAAAGGGCAGCTTGAAGAGACGAGAGATAAAGATGACACGACTAAAGATGTAGCAGTAAGAGAGGCAACTGATGTCGAAACATCTGGTGAGTTACCGAATATACAGGCCATCGTAACTATAGCAATTGTTGACACGTTTACTTTGTTTTCCGATTCTTCGTATACCATTCCTTTGCACTTCCAGAGTCTTTTTACTTGATATGCATAGATGGTTACAGAAACATTATGATGAACATCTTAAGTACTAACCGTGAACTGACGCCTCACATAGTTTTACGAATAGCGGAATACTCCAAGAATATTGTTTTAAGAATATTGAACTTTGTGCAGCAATGTTAATGGACAATGTGCTGCTATAGTTGTTTGTTGATTCGAATTTTTGATGCTTGGCTAGAATCACTTTTCATTAACAATTGATTTTGAGAGGGGAACGATCATTTTTGGATTTATATGAGACAGTTTAATCATAAAAATCATGAACATTATTCAAAAAATGTTTTCAATTCAATGTGTGTTTTGTATAGTGTCCGTTTGTAGTGTGGGACGATAAATATGGTAATTAAATGGCGTTCTGTGGTAACGAAATGTTTATTTTATTTCTGAACCTAACTGAAATATTTCATATAAAAATGTTACTCTAGAAATCCCTTCAAAGAATCAAAGCAAAGATGAAGCAGTGTTAAATGCTGACGGGAAAAGAACGTCTCAGTGGCAGAATATTAAAGCAATTGATATAGCAGGTGAAGACATGTATGGCGACCAACTAGAGGGAGCAGTAGGTGGCTTTAGACCGGATGTTGCAGGTGAGTAAAAATACCATTTCATTTACGAAATGTTATTATGTAGAACCCACCCACGTACGTGGGACATGATACAGTATTTGAAGGGTTCAATTTTAAAAATTATTTGATCTTAGATTATATATATTGATCTATTGAATGCCTATGCGTATAGATAAATTGATGCACCATATGCCTTTATTTATGGATCTGCCAACTGTCTAGTCATAAAATTAAACCGGAATTGAAAAAATGCTAAAAGAAATCTGTGAGATACGAGTGATAAAATATTGCTTCTGGGACGAGATCAAACGACTTTGACATATTCTTTACTCTACCTATTTTACAATTTAACAATTAACAGAAGTATGCATACCCTATTTAACCAGGTATCGAATAAATTCATAAAAATAAAAATTTCGATTAATAAAATCACTATTATAAATCCGGAAGTGTGTGAATATTTTAATTATTCAGATTTTCCCTTGGATTCGAATTTTA